GAGAGAGAGAGAGACCTTTTCCAAGCTGGTCATCATTCACATGAGTGGGGGAGGAAATGGTGTGGTGGTTGGATTTGAGGTGGAGTTGAAATTTGTGATGTGGGGAAGAGGGAAGGTAGGAGGAATAGAAATAGAGAGAGAGAGTAGGGAGAGTGAGAAGAGGAGAGAGAAGGGATTTCCCTTTCCTGTACTGGAAGATAAGGAGGCGATTAAGAGGAAGAAAACTCGCCATGCCTTCGATGAAGGCCTATCCGCCCTTCTCTCTCTCTCTCTCTACTAAAATGCTAGGCCTCCTGTTACCGCGCCTAACTGGGTTACACGCGGGTGAGGCAGATTGACGATAATGAATCTAATTTTCGAGTAAAATAGTCGTGCTCCTTCGGGGAGTAAACTATATACCCCGCTAGAGTACCTTCATTAGATCTCACATTTTCACATACGAGTTCTTTTTGGACCTAAAATTTTGGGAATCAATTTGTAGCCTTACAGGTGAAAATGTGCGGTTGGGAGCGCTCCACTGAAATTTAATGGCCAGGGGAGATGTGATCTCTTTATACCAAATGTAAATGATCCTATAGTACACAGTCTTTCAAATTCCAATGGCAAGGGGAGATGCGACCTTCGTATACTACATGTAAACGATCCTATAGTACATAGTCTCTCAAATTCTAAAGATTTAATTTAATTATAGATATGCATACCTTTGTTTTATTTAAATAGCTATGGTCGAAGCTTATTATTTGGGATTGTATGCAATGAGACTATTTATTTTTAAAATAGGGAGGTTACCTTTTCCATCCAACAATCAAATTTCGTTTTCCTGTTCATACCAATTTTTATTTTATTTTCTTTTCTTTTTATGTTTTATTTTTTTTGCACACCATAGTGAGGCTAACATCCTAAGAGGCAATATTTTGATTGGCAAATTTTTATGCTTCAAATTTACGTTTTGTCGAAGCAAAAAGCTAACCAAAACATGAGTTTTTGTTTGGCAAATTTTTATGCTTCAAACTCATGAAGCAAAAAGCTAACCAAAACATGAGTTTGGAGCTTTTTCTTTAGTGCGATCCATCAATATCCCATGAGGGTAAAAGCTTTTCTTTGGTTGCTAGCACAAGACCCGAACCCTTGTTGTGGAAGAAAAATGTGGAATCAAACTGCCATTTATTTTTACATTATTCTTTTACTGATTTTATTGGGGAATGGAGCAACTTCTTGGAACTGGATAACACAGAAATATTTGCTCCTTTTTTTTATTAAGGACCCCGTTTCTATAAGTCCATGCAGAAATGAGGGGCTTTTTAAAAATATATTTTTGAGATGAATTTTTTTACTTAATTTTTAAGGACACGTAATCTCTAAAATAGAGATCATGAATATGAAAAATAAATAAATTTTGAAAATTAATAATAATAATTCTATTAAGAAAACATTTGGACCGTTAATCTTAATTATTTTTAGAAGAACTACCTATTTACATCCATCTTTAAAATGGATGCTTTATATTTCTGAACTGCATATATAGGAATGAGGTCCAACTCTCATGAAACAATTTTCTTTTTATTAATGTTTTAATTCCCCCTTCCCTAAAAGTGGCAAACACCTTTGGAGCATTGTGGTATCTACAATGTGTTGGAGAATGTGGAAAGAGAGAAATGCTAGATCTTTGAAAATCGCATGAGGGATCCTGAGCAGGTGATTCATGTTGGATTTGCTGCTATTCGAAATTACCCATATATTAAAATGTCATATTATGTGGAATTGAGATTTATGTGGAATTTAAATTGATAGTGATAAATTTCTTAAAAGAAATAGAAATCCGAAAAGATTAGAACTCTTTGATGGTTACATCTCTTGGGTTTTAGATATATATAACATCTATAGGAAATTTTCTATTTAGAATAGATTTCTAACTTTATATATATAATATAAAAGTGCAGAGAATTTGTGTGCCCTATTTGGGTCATCATATGGGAAAGGTGGTTTCCTCTAGAGAGAGATGGGGGCAGGGCCTCATGTGCATAAGATGTAACGTTTCTTCTTAGTGAGAAGATAGCTTCCTATGGATAGAAATATTGCGATGGTGCCTCTTGTAGACTCTGAAGATTGAGAGACTTGTTTCTTGTAGAGAAACGGTTCCCATAAAGATTTTGAGTGTTTTTCTTTTTAATGAGAAAAAATCTCGGTTGCTCTCAAAGTTTTTCTTCATAAACCATAATCTCTTCCTAGGCAATGGTCTAGTTATGAAATAGAGATGAGAGAGAGATTGGCAGTGGTGCTATTTGGGAGAGCGTGTTTAAAATGGTTTGCTCGACTGGGTTTTGTCGAAGTTAGAGAGGTAACTCTATGTCTCAAACTCTTTGATGTAAGTTTCATTAGTATAGTAGATTTCTGTTTGTCGTGCCTGTAGATGTGTCCCTTCTGGGATGAATCATAAAAATCTTTGTGTTTTAGTGGTATGTGTTTTATGTTTTATTTCTCAGACTTTATTTGTCAAACATTAATCTATCGGATTTAAAGCTTCCGGGCACAATAATTCAAAGCATTAGTATAAAAGTTATTCAATAGGCACTAAGGCTCCCAAACTTCAAAGATATCCCAACATATATATGGGTGCGGTTTGTATAGAGCATGGGCTCTAAACAATCAAATTAGAGCCTACCTTCAAATAATGTCGCGAAATATGGTTTTAATATTGGAAATATTTGTGATAGCCTTAAATATATTTTTATATTTATTTATAAGGTTTAAAGCTTCAAAATTAGTGTAGATTGACAGATCTATGAAAACTTGAAAATCATGAAAATTGACGGTCTAAAAATGCTTTACAAAATACACTATTTCCAAAACTTAAAATCCATTTTTTTTTTTTCTCGTGTTCATGCATCTTGATGTCAAGATGATCAATTGGAAGATATTTGAGTGTCACAATATTCGAGAAAATATGGGTGTCACAATGTTTGAAAAAATTTCGTTTGAGCTTTAAACTTGGTCAATGAAATAAATGCAGCCGCCCAATTTCACATCCAATTGTCAAGATTAATTGTGACCACCTTATACCAAAAGTAAATGGTTTCATTATTGAAAATCAAGAAATATACCCAATAATCCTAAATTTTTTTGAATTTTTATTTCCCACGAGGAACTTATCCATATTAATCACATCAATCACATGCCCACATAATATAAGATTTTCCTTATTTTGGACGGTTTTTAATACCACCATATCCAACACATGTGTCTATGTAGTGCCACATATACAATCCAATTAAACACAATAACATGTTGAGCATATCTAATTTGAATACGGACCCTACATTTTTAGGTGGTCAAACTTGGGTGTTTAGGGAAATTACAAAACGGAGAATTTGACAAAACATCCTTTCTGAAGAAAATTGGACAAAATCATCATTCTGACAGACAACAATGCCCTTTCCCTGGAACTTAGAAGAACCTCTCGTGACTCCTACTTCTCTTTTCTTTTAATGCTTTAAATGGTTTCATTACTTCTCTCTGTCATTATACTTTCTCATGACGCAAAAGAATCGTGTTGAAAATTTCATTACTAAAGACCTGAGTTTTCTTTGCTCCTTTTCCGGTATATGCTTTCTCATGCCTTAACAGAAGGCCTTCTGCCTCCTCGGGCACCTCGTGCTACTATCACGAAATCCTTGGCTTCCCACAAGAAAGCAGCCAACCATCCCTCCACTTTACCTCAAAAAAAACTCTCTCTCTCTTTCTCTCAACATTCACACACAATATAAATAGCCAGCAGATATCAACGGGAACTAGATTCAAAAAACATTGGTTCTTTAATCTTTAAGGATGAGAGGTGCACTTGTTTCAAGACTGACCGGTGTTGTCTTGATGGTCCTAGGGATAACAATGGCGAGTGGTGCTAGTTTGGAAAAAATTTGGGTGATAATTGCTAAACTCTTGGTGCTCTTTGGGCCTCTTGTGGCCTCAACACTGACTGCAGTTGTGATTGATTTAGGGGTTTTAAGGCCACACTTGCATGAAGCCCTTTTAGGTGAGCAGGTGAATGAGATCATGTCATGGCTCTTTCAACCCCTAGAGGTGAGTAATTACTCGCAAATTCATGAAGACCATGGCTGAACATCATCTCTCTTCTCAAAATCAGTCACTTTTGCAGATTCTCGCATCTAGAACCGTACAGCTCTCCTGTAACATATGCGCCTTTCAATCTAAATGTTTATAGTCTTCTTTTCCTCTTCAAACAAGTTTTTACTAGTATCAAATTTTGCCTGTCGGTATCCCATTTCTGACTTTAACCAGGGTGAGATTCTGCCAGTTCTCTTTTCTTTTCTTTTTTTTGTACTGTTAACTGAGATTCTGGCATTTATTGACACGACAATCACCCCTGCAAGAGAGATGCCGTAGTCCATGCAAAAGAAAGAGAGAGAAAGAGGACAAGTGAGTGAGAGAAAGACTGCAATTTCCAGCAACCAAAAATGCAACGACCGCCTCACCCTGTTTCATCCAAACCCTGCGAACCCATCATAATAGCAGTTCATAATACGTGAGGACACATTTAACACCACTGCACGAGAGAGAGGGGACAAGTGAGAGAGAGAGAGAGAGAGAGCCATTTCCACCAACCACAAATGCAATAACCACCTCACCCTGTTTCATCTAAACACCGCAAAGTGCAAACCCATCATAATAGCAGTTCACAACATGAGACTACCCATAACACTAACACTGCACATAAATTACAAACACCACCCACCCCTCAACTTGAGCTCTCTGCTGGCTTACGCTTAATTGTGACTACATGCAGCTCTTTGTAGACCTCCGAGCAAGTGTGTGCATAATCTGATATGGCCCTAAAGAGAGGTGGAAGCCCAGTCTTAAGGCTCCCCAAGGACTTCTCTCTCACTTGTTTACAAATCTTACGATGCAACTCCACCTCTTCGTCAAACCTCTTCTTCAAGGTTTCTACGACAAATTCTTTCTCTACCAGTGGATCTTTGTGAGTTCCACCCTCCCCTCCTCTCTCTCCATCCACCTCCTCAGGCCCCCTCTTATCCAAATATTTTTGTTTCCAATCCACAAAAGACCGGTTCTTTCGATTATAGTCTTCCTCTAACTCAGCACACCTCTCCTTTATTTTGATCTCTTCCGCTTGTTGCTTATGTATTGCTTCAATGACTGCAGCGAAACCCGAAATTGCATTTATGGTGACCTCATCAGAAAGCTTTCCAAGGCGGGCATGCCATTCATGGAGGAGGGTGTGAATGGGGGGGTTCACAACACGAGGGGGTGATGAGACCTTTTCTTTTAGGCTGCTTTCTATGGGAATGAGATTGAGGCGCAACCTAAAAGAAAGAGAGTTGATCAATATTTCACATTAACACCGGGAAAGTATACTATAATCTGATGGACCATGGGAAAGATAGTCTATTGGGTTATGAATGCCAAAAGGAAGATAAAAGAGTAGGACTCACCAGATTAGGACAAGACCACCACCATCCATTAATTCATCAATCGGTCATGTTCCCAATGGAATGCCATAATCCAATGGACTACAGAAAAACATAGTCCAATGGCAACATGCCCGTTTGATAAGATGGAATTGTGCTGATGAAAGAGAGAGCAGGACCCATCATTGGGTTGTCATACACTTCACAGTCCCACTCTCTCCCATCACCATCCAACAAACTATCGGATATGTTAAGGTTCTCCACAGTCCAGTAGGCCACCACATATGCTTTCCTTTAAAGTTACCACACACAAGCACACACGAGAGAGAGAGAGAGTCGATTTTGGTTTTATTAAAAAGTTGCCGTCCTAATGTGTGTTGTGGAAGTCACTCCGCAACACGAAAATGAACAGTGTTACCCATAAGCTCAGCACCATCCGATTTTTTTGGACAGCATGGATTAAAAAACCGCAACAGACATAAGATGCCCGTGGTGGTATTTTTTCACACAAAAAAACACAAAAAACTGCAACGACTCCCGTAGATCCGCGACGGTTTTTAAGGTAAAACCGCAAAGGGCGAAACACTATTCAATTACACCTATAGACATTTTTAAGAGTTTTCTTTTATATATATATATATATATGGTGGGGCAAAACACTATTTAATTTCGCCTATAGACGGTTTTAAGAGTTTTCTTTTACACACACATAAAGGGTGAGGTTTGCATAGATTGCAACCTGAGACATCAAAGTAAAACGCACCTCCAAATTTTATCATAAGATGTAATTATAAAATTCTAAACTCTAAAAATAGTTCAAATCAAGTAGATCTATAAACATATGAAAATCATGAAAATGAACAGTCCATATGATATTTAGCAAGATGCATTATTTTTTAGACTCCAAATCTTCTTCTTTTTTTCTAAATTTCCATATGTCTTGATGTCGAGATGAACAATTAGAGGGTTTTTCAAAATAAATACAGCCTTTTCTAATGGACTTTTTGAGGCACATCTTAATTTTCATTTTAAGGTTGCAACCTTATATAATTATTTTCCATACATAAATACTCATATATATATAGGATTGTATAAAGTGAGACCATCTACCTTTTGATATAAGGAGGTCAAAATTATTTATTACGTTAAATTAGATAGCTAGAGTGTGTTACAAAGTTCGAAAAAAAAAATTGAAGTTTGAGCTTGGTCAATAGAATAAATGTAGCCAGTTGATTCCACATCCAATGGTCAAGATTAATTGTGACCACCTTGTACCAAAAGTAAAAGTCTAATTGTATATTTTTCTTATATATATATATATATATAGAGAGAGAGAGAGAGAGGAGGGGCAAATGTCGCATATAGGGCAAAGTGGAGATGTGCAACCAGAATTTTATGAGATCGTCAGATACCAATGAAGCTGAAAGGGAAGTTCCATATGACAACAGTGAGAACAATTTACATTATTGGAGCAGAATGTTGGGCGGCCAAGAAATAACATAACCATAGGATGAGTGTAAGATGAGTGTAATTGAGATGTGGATGTTGAGATGAATGAGTGGCAAGACAAGAAGAGATAGAATTCGAAATGAATACATTCAAGAGAACTTGCATGTGGCTCCAATAGGCGATAAGATGACAAGAAATAGACTTATGTGGACTAGCCATGTATTAAGAGGATAAGAGGTACGAGTTGGTTAAAGTGGAAGGCTCAAAAAGCGCAAGGAGTAGGCCCAAAAAGACATGTTTGAAAGTAGTGAAAAAAAATATGGGGACTTATATCACAGAGGGTATAGTGCGTGATAAAACAGAACGGTGGACCAGAATTCATGTAGCCAACCCAAATAGTTGGGAAAAGGCATGACTATGATGACGATGATGATGATATATATGTATTTAAATATGGGTTATCTAGAATACACCACGAATGGCAAGCTAAGAACTTGTTGCTCTAAATCTTTTGACCATAAAATGTCATTATATATTAAATAAGGTCTTTTGACCATAATAGTTCACATATTTCAGG